TAACTAACATATTTCTTAATATAAACACACATGGCATGCCAATTGCTATCAAATAGTGTGATATTGATATTGTTCTGCATTTTTATAATAATACGTTTCATCAGCAAATATATGGTAATATATTCGAGACGCTTGAACTGTGTAAAATTCGATATTATGTTATTTACATATTTAATATACTATTTATGAGACTGACCTGACACGGAGTTGATTCAAACAGCGCTGTCTAGTTCACAGTTCACATCGCGGGAAATGCAAATTATACCAATAATCGCACACCAAAAGCTTTCGATCAGAATTCTTTCGCGCACCTTTCCGTTAAATGAAACACGTTTACATTCGTTCATTATACACAGAAGATCGTGGAGTCGTGTAGAAGCCATGTCTTTCTCCTTGGAACGAGCGGCGATTAAAATTTACCGACTATTCGATTACAACGAGGATTACAAAGTATACAGTACAGTATATAGTATACTAACATGATAGTTTGGTTTATTTATTGGAAAAATTCGATGTCTTCGAATTAATATTGTAGTAATAGGAATGAATGTTAATGCACTTTCATACTGCCACTTTGTACAGTGTTGAATGTCGAGTGCGATCGTGTCCGTGAAGTTCTAGATCTTTTAAATGTTTTTGAATTACATGATTCATGAAAATGTTTCACATATTTGCACCTCTTGCACTTTAAATAAACTGGAGTTCAATCATTATCTGCAATTGGTCTATAGCAAAGAGTTATCCACTTATTATCGGCTTCCCTGGGGGTCGACCCCCGGGACACCAAGGGGCGTTTGTTAAGAGGACAAAACAAAACATTACCAAAGCCCCCTGCATATAACATTAATGCCTGGGTCTCAGTTTCGTCAGATTTAGCGAAAATAAACAAAAAATCATAAAAAAATAAGTATGGCCTTGATTTTTACCATTCAAGTTTTATATGATTTATCAAAGGAGATTCTAAAAGTTGACCTACTTTTCGTTGTCATGGCAACGATCACGTGATGTATATTTTGAAAAACAACACAAAATATGATACTTTTTATTCAGAGGCTCTGCAGCAGTATATTTCGTGACTGAGAGGACGCAGAATTGCGATAATCATTCACACATAATATCACTGTTTATTGAATAAACTCGGAAAGTTTACATTTAGGCTTCGTTTCATTAGTTTATGCCGCTATATTACGATGATCGGCATCAACCCAATGTTAATCCCGTCATTAAATGTTATCTACAAATAAATGTACGGTTTCCAAATTAACGCAGGAAACCTTGTTCCCTTGTTAATGTTTTTAGCTAACAAAAATAGCAAAATTTCGTCAAATTACCCTGCTGCAAGTCGAACGCGTTTTTCGCGTGATGAATTTCACGCGCCATAATGAAACAGTCTGCTGCTTATTGTAAGGGATATTATATTTCCAATAACAACATTCATTGCGCATTCAAGCCGATATCTTGAAGCATAGTTAATGCTTGAAGGGAAGTATGCCATGGTGGAAAAGACCGAGTGAACTATATGTGCTATTAATTTGTATTTCACAAGCAATTTTGTATTGAAAATGAGAAACAGTCAACAATTAATATACTGAATAATCGCAAGATAGCGCACTATAAGAAGCTTTTATTTATCAGCAGTTCAAAGGTCACCTGTCGCAAATGATACAATACTTATTGCTATACAAAGAGCCATTACATCAAAACTGAATAGTATACCGACTTCTTTGCATTGTATATTCCAAAATAATCCTGTCACTCATATATACTATATTTTGATTTGAAGCAAACGCCCGAATTCACTAAAATACTCACACAAGGGGCGAATATTCTAGCAGACGCATTACTGACAGATCGCGCGTGCAACACGCGCGCAAGATATCATCCAAGCGTGGGCAGACCCAGGCATTAACATGCCTGAATATTCGTGCAGGGGAAAGTTTAATGACAAAAATCATGTTACAGCCCACCACCTCTGGGGGAAAAAAAACAAACAACGTCCCTAACAGAAACAATATATAATTACTGCATATAACTGGTGAACTGGATACAAAATACAGCAGAAAAGTAAACAATCTTTAAATATATATAAGCGTCCAAAAATGTCAGGTTCAAGCATGTAAAGCATGCACGCTTGAAAGAACTTTAGTTGCGCATGCGCTGAATTATATAATTAGGGTAAGATGAAGTCTATACTATTCGAACTCAACAATTCTTAGATACCGCTGACCATATGTGAAACAAAATCCCGCGGGTATGTTAACCGTGCCTGTTACAAAACCCATGCAATTTCCCTTCTCCAAGGGACACTATTTTTTTACAAAAGATAACAAATCCCCTCGTGTTCCCAGGGGTTCCCCTGGGGTGTCCCGGGGGTCGACCCCCGAGGAAGTCGATGATAAGTGCATTAGATAAGGAACTAAACTCTTTTTTTCTTTATAAATGTAGATTATCAAATTACAGATGTGTGACTTTGATATACTTTCTGTCTTTTCTTTTGCAGGAGGAAAAATCACGATTGGCGAACTTCAAACAGTAAAAAATCCGCATCCGTAAGAATAACTTCTGAAGAAATTCAAGAGGAAAATCAGGACAGGTCTGGAATGGTGCAGGGACAGTCTTGAGTTTGCTTAGAATATGTTTGCCAACACATGAACTCTTGGTGAAGATGGAAATGTTTGTGAAGAAGACATTCTCTAGTTGTGTAACATACTCCAGGTATGGTATTGTGGGTACATTCAGCCCTCCAAAAGGAACTTCTTCAGACTCATATGCTTTAAAATATAGCATAGAAGTTTCCGACTGTCGTCTAGTTCATGTGACACAAGAACAGGTTTGCATGTTTCACACTGATGCTTGGTAAAACATTTCTTCAACAGATACCCAGAGACATAGGCGATGGCGTTTTCTCTTGTCAAACTGGAACTTACGCTGTTTTCTTTGTAATCCATAGGTCCAATGTCCAACGTGTTTGGTTGAGGTGGTGGAGCAACCAGGATTGGAACTTTGGCCAGTTTGCGCTTCTTACCAGTGCATTGAGCCAGTAGAGTGTCCAAGTCGTCATCACAATTTCCAGCAGAGGAATTAAGAAAGGAGCTAAAGAACAACTTCCTAAAGGCTCGAGTGAATTGGACAGGTGTCGGGTTATCGCTATTCCCTCCCTGCTGGCGTATTGAACCAAAGAAATTCTCAATGGGATCTGTGTTTAATCTTCTAGTAAGGAGAAACTTAAACTCATGACTAACTTAAGGTGCTCCCAAATTAAAAGAATGGCATTAATGGTAAGCAACCACCCCTTTAGGCACTTAATCCTGTTAGTTACTTCTTTGCCATCAGAATCTAAAACTTTCAAGCCCTTTAAAAAACTTATGGCTTCCTTAAAAAAGCTAATATGCGGAGAATTATCATTTAGGGCACATTTGAACTTTTTTGCAGAATACAAAGTTGAACTGTTGACACAATCGAAGAGAGAATCAAATTTTAAAAGCAGCTCTGCTGTTCCCATTGCTGAAGATGGAAGGGCCCCTACACTTACATATGTGCATATACTGGCTGCTACAGTGTGGCTTAGTACTTGGGTGGCCAACTTCACCTTCATTTTACAAAAATTGTTAGGATGTATATGCTTTTCAGTCAGTTTCGGAGCATCTCTAATAGGTAATAATTTGTCTTTTTCATAAAGGTTTTCAATGTCCTTCCAACTGGCAGTGTAGGAGTCAAAATGAAAAGAATACTTCATGAGATTGTTTCTTATGCACTTGATCAAGTGGAGTGGATCAAACATAACAAAATATTTTGTGTTGTTGTGGATAAACCAGGGATTCTCTGGAGTTATGTTAAGATGATTGACCAAGCTTTGGAAATTGGATCCCATATCTGACATTATAACCAGAACTTTAAGACCAATGGCATCTAATTTATCGATTGCTTCCTTCATGAGCCTTTCTGCTTCGTCTTTGTGGCATGCACCATTCACAAGGACATAACCCAGTGGTTGTTTCCAATTTCCTGTGATGCTACGGACGAGAAACACAAGTGCTGATGTTGCCACTTTGTTTGTACAGTAACTACCGCCGAAATCTTCTAAACCTACAATTTTGTCATAAAATAAATTGGTTTTGAGGGAAATCTCATCCATGCACAAAGTACAGATTTTTTCCTGTTCATTCATATGCGAAACTTTGCTCTTGATAATATTAAGTGTGCCTTGGGAAAAGCCAGGGATAGCTGGTAGTTTTGATATGTAATGCCTGAGTGATGTTTTTGTTGGCAAAATAAACAATTTCAACAACATTCTGTATGCTTTACCACTTGCGTGATAAATGGAAATTGCCAAGGATTTAAGTTGGGGCGAATATCTCCTTCCTTTCTTTTTCTTACTATGTAGATTTACTTGCATTTTAACAAAGTTTGCCAGGTTTTCTGGAAGTTTTGCCAAAGCTATTTCCAATGCCTTTTCTTCACTTATTTTTTACTTGATTTTTTCTGTAAAGTCTTCCTAAGTCGTCAAATCTATTGGACTTGTGCACGGATAACTTTTCTCTGCTTCTCTTTTATAGGAGTGTTATGTAGGAGATATTTGCTTGTCTGACCGCTGAAATCTTGTGCTAGTGGTGTTGCAGCTGTGGAAGTTGTGGCAGTGCTGCAGCTCTGGTCTTTAGATGTGAGCTCACATGTACTATCCTCTATAGGTTGTGAAGCAACCACTGTAGATAAAAATAAAATTAATTAAAAGAGGATGATAATTTGATCCAAGTGATGTATGAGCATATATTAGGTAGAGGTTATTTAAAGAGAGTGGATTTGCCTATGCCACTTATTTGTTTAATGACAGTATACCAGTGAAAAAACTAAGTGGGGCATCTAAATAATTTGTTTCACATACCATTACTAGGCTTAGTAACATTGGTCCTTTCAGTTTTTTGTTTCTTCCCTGTGGTATATATAAAAAAAACAAAATTTAATATATGGTTTGTGTGGTATTTCATGAGGCAAAAAAAATAAGTATAAAAATGTATATTTTAAGTTTGCTACTGACAATATTTATTATTATTATTAATAATATTTATTATAAATTAATAATATTATTATTATTTATTTTTTATTATTCATTTAAAAAAATCCTGGTTTCTGATTGGCTAACAGCCAACTGTGAAATTGTCATATCAACTCAATGACTAACCAAATATACATTCATATTAGCAAAATGACGTCAAAGGGTCAATATGAAAAAAAAATTGGATGCATTTGCGCCATATTACTATGACGACGAGAATCATATTGACTCGCTGACGCCATTGATATGACGACGACGACAGCTGCCGAAGGACTAAGGAATTGTTTTTTTCTCAATACAAATAAAATACAAATGTTTGTTTTGAATTTTTAAAATAAATAAAACATATTGAATTTGGTTTTCGCACAATATGAAGAATTATGAAGCCCTCAGTTTGCCATTATCAACCTCGGCCTTTGGCTTTGGTTGATAACGGCAAACTTCTGGCTTGATAATTCTTCATATCGTGCTCAACCTCATTCAATAATTGTTAATTATTCACTATCATTAATATTTATTATTATTAATATTTAATATTATATCACTGGAAAAATTTTTGAAAATCCATAGAATGTCATAGAATGGAAATTGTATGGACCTTTATTGGAAATAGAATGGATTTTGGTTATCCATAATAATTGTATATTTCCATAGTATGGATATAGTATGGAAGTAATATGGAAACACTATGGATTTTGTGGTGCAATTGCAAATTTCGTAGTATGGATTTCACTTTTTTTCCAGTGTATTATATTAATGTTTATTATTGATTTGCATTTATTTTGCATGCAGCCTGAAATAATTACCCTTGCTTTGAATAGTTGATACTTTTTCAACAAGTCGTCTTTTTTCACCCACTTTAGCAGGCGGATTGGGTATGTTGAACAGTGTTGGTTTAGCACACTTTGTCAACCGATTCCCTTTATCATTTGAGAACATGCAGCTTTCAAAGTGATGGGCACACAATTTGCAGTTCTTGTGCAAGTATTCTGGACTTTTGTCAAGAAGGTCCTCACGCCTAGAAAGCACAACCCATTCTTTGGACCTAAATAACTTGGAATTGTAGTGTTTCCTAAATAGCTGACATTAGTTCATTACTGGATATTGGACACAACATTGATTGAATGATCGCAATAAATTGGACTTGTTGACCTACCTGTTCCTGTCTGATGGAAAATGGAAAAAACTCCGCTCTGGATGACTATGTTTACTCTTTGAACAGTTTATGGCAGAGCAAAATGTGCGGCTCCCACCTTTTCTCTTTTGGTTGTTTTGTGCTATTTGCAGCCATTTACCATTAAACACGGAGAGAAATATAGACAAAATATAAAGTTTGTTCGTTCACTGCAACCAGGTATATCAATCATGTTTCGCTCGCTACTCTGGTTTAAATAAATGATTACAAAGCCCAGTCGAATTGTAATCAAGACCCAACGTTTTGATACTCCAGTCTAGTGTCTTCATCAGGGGTGATCTAAAACTGCGATCGTGGCTTCTTAAATACCCAAGGGATGACGTCACCTGCCAAGAAGATGCATATATTCTTCTGGCAAATAGGCGCCGTCATCCCTATTCAAAGCATGATGACTCATATTTATATGCCACGCTTCTAGGCAAAGTATTTGACCATAGCGATTGTTTGTGGTAATTACTTTAGAGTTTTCCCATGCAATCTCGTGTTTGGTGTAACATACATGTTCGGCTAAAGCTGATTTTCCCTTGTCTAAAGTTGAAACAGCCTTTTGATGTTCTTTTAGCCGTGTACCAAACTGGCGTTTAGACTGACCCAAATACTCTTTATCGCAGTCACCGCATGGTATAGAATATATAGCAAGAGTCTTCTGATATTTTTCAACAGGATCTTTTGGCTTCGCGAAAATATGGCCTAAGGTCAAATAGGGTTTTAAGGCAACCTTAATATTACAATTACTTAAGATTCTCTTGATTGGTTCTGTGACACCTTGAATGTATGGAACTATTGCAAAACCCTTAACAGAGGTATCACCCTCAGAGTTATTTTGGTTCCTACAAACAGGTGGTCTCAGGCAATCATTAAGAAAACGCTTTGGGTAATTGTTTTCCCCTTAAACATTTAGAACATATTCACGTTCATTAGCTTGAGAATCACTGTTTGACGGCAACGATTCAGCTCTTTGAAGCAAAGTTTTTGCTACGGATCTTTTATGGCTTACTGGGTGATGAGAGTCGTATGACAAGTATTTGTCTGTGTGTGTGGGTTTGCGATAAACATCAGTCTCTAACTTCCCTTCGACAGTTCTGTGTACATTCAAATCTAAAAAAGCTAAATGTCCATTTATTTCACGTTCTACCGTGAATTGGATGGGCGGCTCAGAATTTAAAGCGTGGCATATAAATATGAGTCATCATGCTTTGAATAGGGATGACGGCGCCTATTTGCCAGAGGAATATATGCATCTTCTTGGCAGGTGACGTCATCCCTTGGGTATTTAAAAAGCCACGGTCGTAGTTTTAGATCACCCCTGATGAAGACACTAGACTGGAGTGTCGAAATGTTGGGTCTTGATTACAATTCGACTGGGCTTTGTAATCATTTATTTAAACCAGAGTAGCGAGCGAAACATGATTGATATACCTGGTTGCAGTGAATGAACAAACTTGATACTAAAGTTATCAAGGATCAAACATATTGCATTTTTTATAATTTGAGTGATTTGTCAACAAATAATACAATTTCGCTTGGCTTTCAAAGACAAAGGCCATAAATCGCTAGAATACTGTTGTCAGTTGTTTTAATAATACATTTGACATCCGTAGGTACAATTTCTCATTTGTATAAGTACAATTTCTTACGCTGAATCTAACGGTGGTATTTTTATCCTTAATATTGCGCCATTACTCATTAGGCATTACAAATACATTGTCGGACAATTAACGGCGAGTAATTTGTCAACATACGTAGCCGCGAGCGATTTTTCAACAATTCAATTTCGCTTGATTTTCAAAGGCCATAAATCGCTAGAATACTATTGTTTAGAAATACATTTGGCATCTGTAAGTGTAATTTCTTACGCTGAATCGAACAGGTGGTATTTTTAGTCTTATTGCGCTATTATTATTTAATTGGCATCTGTAAGTACAATTTCTTACGCTGAATCGAACGGTGGCATTTTTATCCTTATTGGCTATTGCGCCATTAAATATAGGCATTAATACAAATACAATATCATATTTCACACTGAGAACAGTTTTCACAGACTGTTGTTCAATAAATTTCATATTGATCATTAAAACTACGTTGTGCAGTTTAAGTTATAACCTTTTACCTTGAAATTGTCTTTGGCCCGTTTATATTCAGATTCAGTATATTATGATCGTGCACAGGAATTAAACGATCCAAATTTCGGATTTCGTGCACCAAGAAAAACGCATTAAATAAACTAGCAGGAATGTCCAGTGTAAAGGATGTTGTTTAAAATCTTTTGCGTGGGTTGGAATTAATTAGTCAAACTAATTTGCATGCCACTACGGCTTTATATATAGCAGAACTTTTAATTTTAGTTTGCTTTTAATCTCGTGTTAAGCGTGGACATATACCGTATGTATATAGCATTAGATATTGGCTAATCGTTAAAAGGATCTGCGGGGACAGAGGTATACAGTACGTTGTTATTTTATTTAGTAAATGTTCAGTATGTGGTGGTTTTGTAGTTTTGTGTATATAGATAATGTAGTTTATTCTTTGTATAGTTTTTACGTACTGTCGAAGGGCAACGAAATATAAGATAAAAGATTGGTTAAAATCAAAGCGTACGTTGTCTGCCAACGGTTCAGTAAACCACAGCCGCATCTCAAGTTCGATCCTTTATATCCAGAGTTAGACACAATGCAAAAGCCATAGAAAACAGGTACAAATTGTTCAACATTTTCACGAAAATGTTTGAAACATTTTGCCCACTCCACAAAAGTCCCCGCGCCATTTTGAAAAGGTCAAGCAGCTTCATTAATATTCTATTTTGTGGCTATCGACGAAGACTGGAGATCCACTATTGCCGATCCGTGAAAAATGCAAGCCGAAACCTATACTCGTCTGGGGCACAGGGTGCCCCAGCGAGTAATAAATGCAATTTATGTAAATTTACATAATATTTTGATACAATTAGCATGAAAGGGACAAGAAGGACCACAAAAATGTGGGCAAAGCCACAATTGTAATTATGTCCTATAGTCCTAACCACCTGCCCGCCCTCGTCGTAAACGAAGGCAAGGCCGGACCAGAAACTAAGATTAATTTGTAGTGGCCTTAGTACGATTATATTTACAATTCAAATTTAAATGCTTGGTGGTGTGGTATAAAATGGCCAACTGGCAATTTTATACCAAAGATCAAATCCTAAAATAAAGTAAAGGCGAGTGTTTGAGCCAAAATATTTAAATTCTTGTTTATATCAGATAAGAAGTCCCATCGTAAACCTTGACCAAGAATTTTTAACTAACTTTTGTGTATCAGAAACACAGTTTCTTTTTTTCTCGTATTTCGTTCAAAAATACGATGTATAAACTCATAAAAAATATGTTGTTATACACTGTATAAACTCAGGGGGAATTAATCCTACTGATTCAAAATTTTTGGTGAACACTCGTAATAATGATATAAACAACATATAAAACGTCTACTGTAATTGTGTATTTGTTTTATTTTAGAAATGCTGGATGCAATAGAAACCCGTCTTTTTGTTGGTGACCCAGAGACTTTCCAGATTGATAACCAGACAGCAAGAGTTCCATATGATAGTACACTTGCAATGACCAGTGGCCACTTTCAAATTGCTGGAGAACTTATGGCAGCTTCCATTGTCCAGGGTGGTCCTGCGCCAGATTTTTTGGCTGAATGGGTATACAAAGTATCTTTCATCAGGGATAGAAGGAATTACGGTTGATGAAAGCAAGATTGAAGATCAATCAGTTAGACAACTTATAACAAGAGTAAGTACATTTTTTATCTTATTTTACCAGATGATTACATTGAAATAGAATAAAAAACATTTATTCAGAAATAATAAAATCTCTCTCTATGCATATCTCTATATGTATGTATATATGTCTATGCATAAAATACCATCTCACAAACTGTAGGTTTCATTATTTTGTGATTAACCCATTAAGCGATAGTGCACTCAAATATGCCAGATGTATTTTACTGTGATGCAAGATTATTTTACTTCTAGACTATTTTATTTTGCTTGCATGGGCTACCGCACCATACTCCACTTTTCATTTTTGTTTAAAAAGACTGCTGGCTCATTGTGTTTCATTCTTCTATTTGTAGTTACAAACAGTAGACTCAGACAAAAAGTTTCAAGATTTGCTTATGCAAGACAATGTTTTGGACCAACTTTCCAAAATTGGATATAGAGGTGTGCCTCATAGAGAATCATTGAAAAATAAACCATCCCTGATAAGGTATGCTATATGGACACTGTGATATATTGTTTATAAATTAACGTTTGATCTAATTATTACTTTCATAAAGTGTGTCGCTGACAAAACTTTATATATTTACGGGATAATTATTAACTAATTATAGTAATGCATGACTAATGAGATTAACCTGATTGACACGTAATTTGACGCACATTTATATTCAGATAGATTGAGACAAAGACTTATAGTGTTAAACGAAGGAGATATGCTAACCTGTGTTGAAGCTAACCTGTATTTGTATGTGTATTTGTATATTCAGTATCAGTAAGACTAGATTGCGAAGACCTGGCAAAGAAGTAAGTCTCATTTATTGAAATTATGCGGTATATTACTCGAAGAGAGCGCACAGGTATATATCAGGCACTATATTTGTTATTCTATACTTACAATTGTTATTCCTTATAATTACTTACTAGATCGAATAAAAACCTATCAATATTCATTGATTTATACGGTTCCGTGTCTCGCGATCTAACCGGGAAGTTTATTTACCCTGAATAATCCACAACATTCGATTTCTGGCGAACAAATACTGGTTGAAATTCTGGATTTATACTATGAGTGAATCAAGCGAGGCGTTGAAGGCAGCCAAGATACAGCGTCGATCCGCAAAAGCTGCGTTGACAAGACTGGGAAAAGCGCTGAATCATCTGTGCGAGAACGAAAGACCGGCTGAAGAGGTAAGCAATTATCTCATTAAAGTAGAACAAGCCTTTGATAACGTGGTTTCAAAACACGAGCTATATGCAAATTTAATTGATCAAGATGAACAGTTTGAACAGGAAGAACAAGTGGTTAGATGAATGTCAAACATTCTTTTTAAAACTTGATATCGATGCAAAGTGTTATATAGAAAATGTTTCTGCGAAAATTAGCAAAAGCAGCCTTGAGGAAAACCCGCAAAATTCCTCAGGAATGATTGGAATGCAAAACACACCGAGCGCAAGAATACGAGCCCTGAAATTTCCGAGCCAAGTATCAGCAATGAAAACAATGTGATTGACATTTCTACCATTAATGACGAAGTTTCTATCGAAACGGTCTGTTGCCCACCTGAGTTTCTACAAAATAATCTTGAACAAAACACAAGCCAAAGCGCGTCCCAACCAGAAGTTAGTAATGAAGCAGGACCTGCTTATAATTCAACCCCATGTGGTTTCCGAATGGAAAAACCAAAATTGCCCAAATTTTGTGGTGACGTGCGGGAATATGCAATTTTTCGCGCAGATTTCAAGCATGCGATCGAATCAAGATATTCGAAAAGAGAAACGATAACATTGCTACGTACTTGTCTGAAAGAAAAGCCGCTTGAGCTAATAAAGGGAATTGGTTCCGACTATGACGCGGCATGGGAATATTTAGATTCAATATACGGGGACCCGCGGTTTGTTTCTGACACCATTACTCAGGACATAGCAAAATTTAAACCGGTAGAAAAAGGCGAAGATGTGCGTTTTTGCGACCTTGTTCATTTGGTGAGACGTAGCTATAACATGCTAAAGGAGGTTGGCGTTCCGAGCGACATGGACAACAGCCACATGCTATCAATAGTTGAACAAAAGATGTGCCCAGATGATCGAAAAGTTTGGTCAAGAGATTTAGAAAGAGCGAAAACCAGCAACGCTGAATGCTTTGATGACGTGGATGACGAGCGAGATGAAGTCGCGCATGCGTGCGACAGCTCCAGTTAGAAGTGGTTTAACAAATCGACGCAAAATCAATCATTTGCACGGCGAAATCGAAGGCGGGAATAAGAGCAGAAACAAGTGTTGGCTGTGCAACAACTCAAGTCATTGGCCAGACCAGTGTCAGAAGCTTGCAGCAATGAGTGTTGAAGAGCGACTCGTGGCGGCGAAAGAGAATCACGTTTGTTTCAGCTGCTTAAAGAAAGCGGGTCGAGATCATCGTCAAGCAAACTGCAGTCGGCGAAAGCAATGCAACAAAGTTGAGAACGGAAGCCAGTGTACCTTCAGCCATCATCCTTTGCTACATAAATCGAGTGCAGTGGGTGTCACTTTAGCATCTGTTACCAGCCAGAAAGATTCCATGTTGCCAGTGATTGCTGCCAACATCTGCGGTCCAAACAGGTTGTACAAGCGTGGGAACGTCCTTCTGGATTCAGGAGCGCAGATAAGTTTAATACGGAGCGAAACAGCAGACAGCCTCGGACTGAAAGGGAGAGACATCTCAGTGAACATAATCAAAGTAGGTGGAGAAGGGGAATCAATTCATACGAAAATTTACAAAGTACCAGTAAGCGGAATCGGTGACCCAAAGATACATTCTGTGAGAGCAATTGGTATTCCATGTATTAGCGAGGAAGTTAAAAGTGTTCAAACCGGAACTATCATTGAGAAACTTGGCCTATCAAAAGACCAAGTAGTTAGATGAGGCAAAGGACATGTCGATCTGCTCATCGGGATTGATCATGCACACATGCATACCGCCAGAAGATCCCCATTGGGATGGGTCATATTTGGTTCGACAACGGGAGAATTAAGCAACACAATCACCACTGTCCTACACGTAAAATATACAGCACCGGTGGATCTGTCGGACTTTTGGAAGACCAAAACCATGGGTGTGGAAGTTAAGCCTTGCACTTTGTGACGCAGATAAGCTGAGCCAAATGGAAAGAGAAGAAAAGCGAGTGATAGAAGAGTCTACTCAAAAGATTGGAATTCAGTGGATGATTCCATATCCATGGAAGAAAGACCCTCGGGACTTGCCAGACAATAAGAATCAAGCCATGAAATGCCTGGAGTCAATGGAACGTCGGTTATTAAAGAATCCTGAGCAAGCTGCTGCGTTTAACAGTAAGATGGTAGAGATGAAAGAAATGGACTTCTCTCGTAAGTTGTCAGATGAAGAGATACAAGATTATAAAGGACCAGTCCACTACATCTCACACCATGCCGTATTAAGACCGGACAACACAAGCACCCCAGTCCGCATCGTGTTTAATTCATCCTCTACGTACCAAGGACATCGACTCAATGACTATTGGCAGACGGGCCCAGATCTTCTAAATGGTCTATTCGGAGTTATTCTTCGGTTTAGAGAGAATAAAGTTGCAATCACTGCTGACATATCAAAGATGTACCACAGAGTCCTCATCCCCCTGGAAGACCAACATGTACACTGATTCCTTTGGAGGGATTTAGAGATCAATCGACCACCGGACACTTATGTCATGAATGTACTCACGTTTGGTGACAAGCCCGCACCAGCGATGGCGCAAGTTGCGTTACGAAAAACGGCGGAAGAAGGAGAATCGGAGAGTCCGAGAGCAGCACAAGTTATAAGGGACAATTCATACATGGATGACACCCCGATTCAGTTTCCACGAACCAAGAAGCCAGAGAGTTAACAACTGCGATTGATTGCATCCTCGAGAAAGGCGGATTCCAGGTAAAGGGATGGCAGTCCAACGAAGAGCTGAACCAAACTAGCAACCAGAAAGATGAAGAAGAGATAAACGTTCCTCAAAGTAAACAAGATGCAAAAGTGCTCGGCATAGTTTGGGATAATAAAGATGATGTGCTCAAGTACAAAGTGAAAGTCGAGGTAAGCAGGACCCAAAAGCCAAAGCTCACCAAGAGAAGTATCCTTAGCCAAGTCGCCCGAATATATGACAAGATAGGCTTCGCAGCACTGTATCTGGTAAGGGCAAAGATTGGTTTGCAAGAGTTATGGCAGGAGGGACTTGACTGAGATGATGAACTGTCACCGAATGCTCAAAGAAAGTGGCTATCATACATGGAAGAAATGGAGCAGCTGAACAACATATATTGTTAGAAAGATGCATATGTCCAATCATCACCCGTGAACCACCAACCTTGTGCGTTTTTGCTGACGCCTCGAGCGGAGCCTTTGGGCATGTGCGTATCTCAGAAGCGAAGACCCCACTGGATCAGTTCATGTTAGATTCGTTGCAGCTAAATCACGAGTAGACCCATTGAAGAAACTGACTATTCCGCGGCTAGAACTTCAGGCAGCGGTGTTAGCCAGCAGGTTGTGCAAAACCATAGAGAAAGAAGTTCGCATCCTGCTTCAAGAAAGTATATTGTTCACCGACAGTACGATTACCTTAGCGTGGATCCGTAGTAAAGGAAAAAGGCTCAAACCATTTGTTTCAAGTCGTGTCGGGGAAATACAGACCAACGTCCAACCTGTCCAATGGAGACACATCCCTACCGAGCAGAATGTTGCAGACGATGTATCACGAGGTTTATCGGTTGCTGAATTATCAGGGAGGTGGAAGAACGGTCCAGCGTTCCTGCACCTACCGAAAGAAGAATGGCCAATAGAGGGCGCGAACGTTGACCAGGACGAAGTCGAAAGAGAATGCAAGAAGACACAAGCAATAGGAACTGTGACATCAAAAGAAACAGCTAAGACGGGCGTGATCGATTGCGAAAGGTTCTCTCGTTGGGGAAGACTCGTTAGAGTTACAGCGTGGGTACTAAGGATGAAAAAGAACTTGCTAAGATAAAGCCATCCAACGACATTGCAGTAGGAGAAGAATCGCTGACACCGGAAGAGCTTGAAAAGAGTCCAATCTTTTGGATAAAAGAAGCCCAAAAGGGTCTTCAAGTTAGAATGAAAGCCAATGAACTGAAGACGCTAAGCCCATTCGAAGATAAAGAAGGTATAATCTGTGTTGGTGGAAGAATCAATAATGCGTTAGTCTCGTACGAAACACGGCATCCAGCTCTCCTACCCTATGGTCACCGCATTTCAAGATTGATTACAGAAGAAGTTCATCAACAAGGTCACACTGGTGTTGCAACCACAGCAGCAAAGATCCGAAGAATGTACTGGATCGTGCAGGTACATGACCTAGCCAAGATCATAAAGTCAAAGTGTGTAACATGTCGAGGAGCGAATCCAAAAATCGAAACACAGATAATGGCAAACCTCCCAAATTGCCGACTGACGCCCCATTCCCCTCCATTCCACTACACATCATGTGACTACTTTGGACCAATAACAGTCAAAGTAGGACGGAACAAGACAACGAAACATTACGGGGTGATTTTCACGTGCCTAAATACCAGAGCTGTTCATCTGGAAGTTGCCACTGATTGTTCTGCGATGGGGTTTATCCAGACACTGCGAAGGTTCTTTGCCATACGTGGATATCCAGCCGAGATTTTGAGTGACAATGGTACTCAGTTTGTGGGTGCATTAACCGACCTTCGCCAAATGATCCAAGGAGTTGACAAGAAGGTACTGAAGGACTACTGCACAGAACGAGGAGTACAGTGGAAGTTTATAACCCCGGCGGCACCACATCAGAACGGATGTGCAGAGGCATTAGTGAAAAGCTGCAAATTAGCCCTAAAGAAAGCAGTTGGTGAGCACGTACTGACTCCTTTCGAATTGTATACTTGCTTGTTAGAGGTGGCAAACTTTATCAACCAAAGACCAATCGGAAGACCACCGAATGATCCAGACGATGGTTCCTATCTGTGTCCGAATGATATGCTATTGGGCAGAGCATCTCCACACAAGTACCACAAGGCCCATTTCAGGAAACGAAAAATCCAAGAAAAAAGTTTATCCAAAAAATCGTTGAGTCATTCTGGAGACGATGGACAAGGGACATATTCCCGTTACTGGTGCCAAGAAGAAAATGGAACACAGAGAGACGAAATGTACAGGTTGATGTAGTAATCGTAGCGGACGGAAATGCAGTACGAGGAAAGTGGAATGTCGGACGCGTAGTTGAAGTGTATCCAGGACAAGACGGTAAGGTTAGAAACATCAAGGTAAAAACGCCGTCAGGAGAGTACTCGAGGCCCGTGACCAAGATCGCAGTGATTCAACCGGCAGAAGACGCAGAAGAAAAGAATTTATAAGAACATAGTCCTTATGGGGGCGGAGGATGTGTCGCTGACAAAACTTTATATATTTACGGGATAATTATTAACTAATTATAGTAATGCATGACTAATGAGATTAACCTGATTGACACATAATTTGACGCACATTTATATTCAGGTAGATTGAGACAAAGACTTATAGTGTTAAATGAAGGAGATATGCTAACCTGTGTTGAAGCTAACCTGTATTTTTATGTGTATTTGTATATTCAGTATCAGTAAGACTAGATTGCGAAGACCTGGCAAAGAAGTCTCATTTATTGAAATTATGCGGTATATTACTTGAAGAGAGCGCACAGGTATATATCAGGCACTATATTTGTTATTCTATACTTACAATTGTTATTCCTTATAATTACTTACTAGAGCGAATAAAAACCTATCAATATTCATTGATTTATACGGTTCCGTGTCTCGCGATCTAACCGGGAAGTTTATTTACCCTGAATAATCCATAAAGTGTGTGGCAATTACTGGCTAAACCAAACTAGGACAATTGCATACAAAAATAACTATTGCACACACGCTTTATGTTAGTAGTAAATTTGTGAGTTTTTTCTGTGTCGATCTTTATTTATCAAGTATTATCTGACACCGAAATTACCTATGCTTGATCAACAAGCAGCAGGCTTGAAGTTGTTTGGCGTGTTGGAACTGATAAAAAAGCACGAGAATGAAATGAGACAAGTTTTTACTCACAGTGGCAGCAGCATCATCACAGATGATCAGATGATCGATCTTCTCAAGCCTATTTACGATGATAACACCCAAAGGAAAGAAATAGATATTAACACATATAAAGCTATGTGTGACTTTGTGCAGGAACTACATCACAAAGGTTTGTTTTAAGACTAAGTGTTTTCATATAGTACTGTATATACTGTTCAAATGCAATCTTAATTTGAGTAATAAAAATACTTTAAACCCATGACAAGTAGAATGTAAGTTATATACATTTGTGTCCATTTCTTTTCTGTTTATACCTTGGGAATACCAGAATGTGATTTAGCAGTTGGGGATTTGCTCAAGTTCATCACAGGGGTGAGAAAAATACCCGCATTGGGTCTCCCCAAACAGATTGCAATATACTTTATTCATGGATGTGATCAGGTGAAATGCAAATGCAGACCCAAGGCATCTACCTGTGACTTGCATCTTCGATTGCCTGTACACTACCAAACTGCTGAGGATATGATTGCAGCATGGATGTCTGCTCTGAAAGAGTGCAAAGGATTTGGGCACCTTTAAAGACAATTACCCTAAATTAACTAGCACAATATACAGTACTTTCATTGTTTGATTATTTTGTTTTGTTCTGGGTTTTTTTGTTATTTTGTTTCTAGTTTGTTAAAGGGAAATACGATTAAAAATTAAGATTTCTATATTAAGAATGATATAGGCTAGCACTTCTACTGATTTTTCATATCATGCTTAATTCTTGAAATATATTAATTGTTTACAATTGTTTATGTACAAGTGTATTTGATATGTGTTCACTATATTAGGGTTTACAGATTAATAGTAAAGTGAATGCTACTATAATCCTGTCCAACAAATGTTTATTTGCCTTTAAAAATGTCCCAGAACATTATTCATCTGTTGGTCGAATTATACCAGTTATTGTTTGTACAGCATGATTATATATGTCTATACCATAATTGTGATCATCTTCAAGAGGATTAATGGCAAGTAGCAATGCAATCATTTGTTCTTCAGTCAACTGTATTGCTGATCTAGGAACTACCACAGGATTATTCGTCTGAAGTTCAGGAAGTAGCCCATTATCATCAAAACCGTAGTTGATAGGATCAGCATGTTGATTCGAATTAGCATGACTGTAAAAACCCTCGGCCCATATTTGACAAGGTGTTTTCTTCTTTTCTGAGCTTAGTGGATGGTTGTTCCACTGCAAAATAAATTCTTCAACAGACCGTCGTATCCTTGGCAGGTAAACATAGTGAAGTGCATATATATGTACTTCATCCAAAGGATCTAGGAACTGATGTGACTCCATAAAATAAAATAATCTTTGGTATAAGCCAATGAATGACTGAGCCGCATCACGCCAGAGACGCTCAATCCTTTGGTTATGAACAGATCGCCCTGTTAAAACAGGGTTAGATGTTGTGCCATGATGATCTAGCATCCACTTAGCTACCTCAACATTTTCAGTTCCATGATCACTTCTAATGCGATGTGAAGCATGAAACTGATGTAGAGCATTTGTGAACAAATCCAGCACTGTATTTGCCTCATTGTTTGTGTTGCAACCAAGATACACAATAGTACGGGAAAAGCCATCTATGCCACCATGGATTACTATACGCCAGCGTATAAGTTTATGATTTCCATCTATGTGCCTGTTTGTACAAAAACAATTACACCATACTTACATCTATGTAAATTTGTAATGGCAGCCGTGTTGCTGGGTGGGTACGTATGGGAAAGTGTTTGCCATTTTGCCTCAGGTTTTCTCACCAACCGAGGGACAAAGGAGCGAGGTCTATGCAAATAAGATGAATGTCGAAGGCAAGTACTTTCCCATTTACAACTGACTTTTTTATAGGAAGGGTGAAATATAATAAAATAAGAAACAGTGCTGAAAATTTACCTACCACAGACTGTTCGGTCCTGGAACATTATAAACTCCTCTCTTTATTTGCAAATGCCATCTACACTCTGTTCCAGCAGGATCTACCCACAACATTGACTTTCTTATTCTTCTCCTTTGGATTCGCAATCCCCGCCCAAGAAGCGCACCTCTCATCATCATCTGTCCAGAGTTGGGTGAGTTTTGAACTATGGACTGAATCACAGCATCAAGTTGTACATCAGTTAGCTCGCTGTAATTATGTTGCTCTCTGATCTCCAATTCCCGCCGTCGTCTGTACAATGTTACCCTCGAAACGCCAATCAGTTCTGCTATTTTAGTCCACGAAAAACCAATTTCTCAAAGGCTTTCAATTTGTGCTCTTGTAACACGGAATTGTGGTCTTCCCCTTAAATTTTCAACAAAAGCCGGTTCGTTTTGACAGCAAAATCTGTTGTCCATTTCTTGTTCTTGCAGGTTTTGAATAACATCCCTGTAGCATCTTGTGAACTGTTCGTATTGACCAATAAGAGTTTGAAATTTCTCCACTATTTCATGAGAAATTTCATCCTCGCGACATTCAAATAGAAAAAGAAAAATAACACACAAAGAACATGTCCGCTCGGAAGTTGAAAGCATATTATCAGCAATTTCCAATGCTTGAGTGAATTGATTTAATCGTAACTGCTCGTAAACATGAGGCAACCGAGAGAGAAATGTCCTAAATTCGTCTAGAAACGCTTCTACTTCGTCGGCCATGTTGAAAACTTTCATAACATGGGTAAGGCATGTACTTCATGTAATGGATCATATATTGTGGGCTCTTATTGCACAACAAGTTTTATATTTCAGATGAAGTATTATATTTGAGACGAAGTATTATATTTGAGACAAAGTGTTATATTTGAGATGAAGTATTATATTTGAAATAAGTGTTATATTTGCAGAGTTGTGTTTTATATTAGCTGAGATATATTTTATATAAACGACTACATGTTTTATAAATGTGATATGAACTATTATATGTTGAAATAAGTATTATATTTGCGACAGAAGTATTTTTGAAACAAACGGCGCCCCATACATTTGCCTGAAATAAAAGACAGAGTTCAAAAATCTACATATTTATCTATTCAATGCTAAACTATTGTAATGTACTATCAGAATCGAACTAACAGCATGTGAAGATTTTGTCAATTCAAACTCTTTGGTGTCAATTCACCCTGTTTTGCAGTGGTGTAGCCAAGGGGGGTGGTCGCCCCCCCCCCCCAAATTCCAAAAAAAAATTCTCTGAAAAATGCTCAATCCATAGAGAAATTGGGGGGGGGGGTACACGTTACACAATCCTTGGGATTTTCTTCCCCCAGCATCACAGAGGAGAAATAAGGTGACGCTGACCAGATCCTCCTGTTTTTCAAGGTGACTTTTCCAATTTATTTAATTCCAAGTAGAAAATTAGAAATGTCTGGGGAAAATTTATGTCTTCGATGTACTTTATAATCTTCGTAGTTCTGCAAGATTTCACCCCCAAACTTCGGCGTTCACTTTGCCCCCCCCCCCCCAAAAATGAAGGTCTGGCTATGCCACTGCTGTTTTGCTTTCATCAACTTCATAAGGTCTTCCCCTAAGGACTTTTTCGACTTGTTTTTCAGTGATGCGTTTTTCGATCTCATTGTGCATGCTACAATTTTGTACGCCCGTTCAAAATGCAACAATCCAAATTTTACAACCGACTGCGACGAAATGTCTGCATTTTTGGCTTGAATATTTTGATGGGAATAAACAAACTTCCAACAATTCGGTCATACTGGGATTCAAATTTATTTTTAGGCAATGCTGGTTTCAAAACAACAATACCTGTCAAACGTTTCAAGATTTTAAACAAGTATTTTCATATTTCGGACCCACGGCAAGAAAACCCAACCGATAAACTTACAAAAATTGGGCCCCTTATTTCAAAGCTCGAAAATGCTTTTCAAGATGTTTATGTGCCTGGAAAAAAATATTTCGATTGATGAAGGTTTGATTAAATTTAATGGTCGTTTATCTTTCAAGCAATATATGCCTAAAAAACCGGATACATTTGGTATCAAAATTTGGATGTTAGCCGATTCTGGAACTTATTTTGCGCTGTGCTTTCAAAGTTTACTTAGGTAAACAACAAAATGCCGATGAAAATGATCCAGAAGTGGCGCATTGATTTTCTGGGAAAACCCAAGTATAATACTTACCGTCATTTGTATTTCGATAACTATTTTTCCTCGGTTCCTTTACTCAAACATTTGCTTGCAAAAAAACTTATGCATGCTCGAACTTGCGCCACAATAGGACATATTTTCCTGCTGATTTGAAAAAATAAAACTTAAGTGTGAAGAAATGCGAACTCGACAACATGAAAATTTAGTTTGTTTGGCATGGCAAGATAAACATTTAGTCACAATTTTATCAACCAATGTCGATCCACAGCCCAAAGGTTTCGGCCCTTTGTATGAATGCACTGGAAAAAGGAAAGTCGTTCCCGAGGAAGTGCGAGAAAAACACGCCGTCATATCATTGTATAATAAGTATATGAACGGTGTGGATGTAAACAACCAATATAGGAGCTACTACCCTGTAGGAGCTCAATCTGAAAAGTGGTGGACATATTTGGCTTGGTTTTTCGTGAATATTTCGATTGTAAACGGTTTCATTTTACAAAACTTGCAGACTGATCGACGCCGTCACCTAAAACATTTAGATTTCTGTCTTGTTTTGGCAAGGCAACTTATTTCAACCTATAACGGCTACAAAGAGATTTCTAGTGCCTGAACTAGCCGTAAAAAATGTTCCAGTGGGTAGAAATGTTAAGGGCCATAGCTTAGTGAAGTCTTCAGAGCGAAAACAAGCATGTGGGATGTGTTGAAAGCGTGCGTCGGGAAGAACTTTTGAAAGTAAATATAAGTGTGCTCAGTGTAATGTAAATCTTTGTAAAGAGAGTGCATGTTTTATGGAATGGCATCAATAAAGTTAGTCTTACTATTAGACAAAACCATTCAATGTTTGCCCATTTTATATTATACTTCGAAACAGTCGCCTCATATAACAATGTGTAACCAACTTTATTTCGCTCCAAACTACTTAAAATACAGCGATTTAACTAAATTAACATAAATTAACATAAACTTTAACACTCCCATAAGTCTCTGCGCGTCCATTTCGTCTTCGCCATTTTATTTCGCTCCTAAAAAAACAATGGATTCCACAAATCGTGGTGAAGAAAATCCTGCTCGTAGTTCAGCCATCGTCCAGACGTGGACTCTGTTTATACACCAAATTTGGATGACTATCTCACCAGTCTCGTCCCTGGGAGTGAAAGCGGTAGACAAGCAAAATAAATTCCTCCAAGATCGGCTGCTTGACACCCTTGGTCCAGTAAGCCAATTGTTTGAACATATCTTCGGGACGTTGTCTCAATGTCAACCTGGCAAAACAATTGATTTGACATATGAACAGCTCAATGAGTTAGGTAGCATTACTTCTAATGCAATACGTTTATTGGGTAATACATCAGCCTTGTTATCACAAGAGCGAAGAAAAGCTGTATTACAGAAGATCAATTCACAGGGTACTCTGGCATCTTTGGCATCTGAAGAATTTCCTCAAGCCGGTCTTGGTCTGGGCATTGATAAGCAACGACCCATGGGTTATAGAGACAGTTCAGGGATATCATATCGATTTTTTGCAGGTCCCAGTTCAGCATGCCCTGCCCGTGCTACCCGTTCACAGCAGAGAACAGAGTGCTCTAATCGACTTAGAGGTCAATCAAATGCTCGAAAAACCAGCTATCCACATAGTCCACGCACACGAGAAAGAGCAAGGGTTTATAAGTGCTCTTTTTCTAGTTCCAAAGAAGGGGGGTGGCCAACATCCAGTAGTAAATTTACGTCCTCTAAACCAGTACATCCCTTACGAACATTTCAAGATGGAAGGGATACACATGCTCAGGGACCTTCTAAGGAAGGACGATTACATGGTGAAAATAGACCTAAAAGATGCATACTTTACGATACCGTTTTGGAAAAACCATCAGAAATTCCTTCGGTTTATTTGGAAGGAAACAATGTACGAGTTTGCATGCCTACCTTTTGGACTGTCAAGTGCCCCGCGGGCGTTCACAAAGTTAATGAAACCGGTGGTTGCCCAATTAAGGAAACAGGGTATTCATCTTATTATATACCTGGACGACATACTTATTATGGCCGAGACCGAAACCCTAGCCAATCAACATGCACAGACAACTTGCAATCTTCTGGAAGCTCTAGGGTTTGTGATAAACTATCAGAAATCCAACCTCACCCCATCCAAAAAGATGGAATTTCTGGGGTTTTTAGTCGATTCCCAAGCACCGACCCTTGCTCTTCCTCGCGACAAAATTCGAACAGCAAAGAAAGAGTGTCAGAATCTCCTGGATTTGCAGGTTGTCACAGTGCGAGAACTGGCCAAGGTTCTCGGTCATCTCACTTCTACTATCCAGGCTGTCTTTCCAGCCCCCCTACACTTCCGCCACTTACAGGAATGCAAAAACAAAGCTCTGTGGTTAAGTCATACGTACGAACACCCCTTCAAGTTGACCATACAGGCCAAAGAGGAGCTGGTGTGGTGGAGAGACAACCTGGATGCTTGGAATGGAAAAGCCCTGGTTTCAGGGAGTCCAGACCTGGTTATAGAGACCGATGCCTCCCAAAAGGGTTGGGGAGCATTTTGCATGGGAACGTCCACAGGGGGGCAGTGGTCCCAAGCAGAATCCTCTCTCCACATCAATTGTTTGGAACTTCTGGCCGGGGCCTTTGCTGTGAAAACATTTACCAAAGGCAAGGCCAGGATGACTGTTCGTTTGCTGATGGACAATGTGTCCGCAGCACACTACATAAACAAGATGGGGGGTACCAAATCCCCAGTTTTAGCTCGACTAGCACTCGACCTTTGGGATTGGTGCCTACAGCACGAAATCCTTGTAGAGGCCGAATATCTCCCAGGAGTGCTAAATGTTCGGGCAGACAGGAAGTCCAGAGTAATGTTGGATCGTCACAATTGGAAGCTAGATCCCCCAGGTGTTTTCCACAATAAATCAGTTGTGGGGCCCACTAGAGGTAGACCTCTTTGCTTCCCGGTTGACAACCCAGCTCCCAAGATTTTACAGCTGGAGACCCGATACACAGGCAGAGGCCTCAGATGCATTTACCCAGGACTGGAGCAAGGTGAGGGGATATGCCTAAAGAAACTATTAGACCAGAGTGTCCCGTTTCTAGTACTGATAGCACCTCTTTGGCAATCCCAGCCGTGGTATCCACAGAGTTGTATAGCGGCACCAATTATACTGCCCCACTATCAAGGCCTCTTAACATGCCAGATGGAGATGCATCCATTAGACAATCTCCAACTAGCAGGTTGGCTGCTATCAGCCAATCATACACTCAAGCAGGCATTTCACAACCAGCTCAAGAATTGTTGCTGGCAGCATGGCGCAAAGGCACAGCAACTACCTATGCTTCCGCTTGGAGAAAGTGGGATAGCTGGTGTTGTGAGCGGGAAATTAGTTCAGTTCATGCCCCAATAGAAGCAATTCTTGAGTTTTTAACAACAGAATTTAACTCTGGTAAAGCGTACAGAACCCTAAACGTTCATAGGTCGGCTATATCCAGCACCCATGCTCACATTGATTTAGTGCGAGTGGGTGAGCACCCTTTAGTAGTTCAACTATTAAAAGGTGCATATAACTTGCGACCACACCTGCCAAGGTACTCCAGCATGTGGGATGTTGGGACTGTGTTGTCCTTTATAGAATCCAAAGGTACAAATAACAACTTGACACTTAAGGATTTATCACAAAAGTTAGGCAAGCTGCTTGCTCTCACTGCAATTGAAAGGGTCTCGGAGGTCATTGCTCATGACCTGCGATATCGCCATTACTCCCAGGATGGAGTAATCTTCCATCTACCAGAACTTACTAAAAAGTCTAAAGTTGGGTCAACACTAAAATCATCGTTTCATGCTAGTTTTCCCAGCAACCCTAAACTGTGTGTTATCAAGTGTTTGCGAGAGTATGAAAAGCGAACATCGGGGTTTCGCGCTAAGGATCCTTCTATGCCTAACAAACTTCTGCTGTCGCATATAAAACCCCACAAACCGATCTCTTCGGCGACTTTGGGTAGGTGTTTGAAGGATATAATTTCCAAGGCTGGTATTGACACTGATATATTTAAAGCCCATTCTGTTAGAGGGGCTGCAGCTACGTCCTCCTTTAACATAGGGATTCCTCTTCAAGATATTCTAAAATTGGCTGATTGGTCTGCTGATTCTACGTTTAGGCGTTTTTATTACAAACCGACTAATCAACCATTAGTAGCTCGATCTCTACTGGCTGGTAGTCACAATTATCAATGAACACGAGTTATTGTTGCTTTAAAGTCACATTGTTATATGAGGCAACTGTTTCGAAGTATAATCACAGATTATGCAAGGGCCGCTTGCGGCCTGAAGTATAAGATGAATTATACAAGAATAAAGGAGACGAATATAACAATGTCCCTCCCTCCTCGCCCAGAGTATAAAGAGAAACTTGTGTTCATGTTGCAGGGATTTGTTTATGTTTACATTTGTGTATGCTATTTCTTCCTTTGCAGTGACATCCTGAAGACGCTTGTTTGGTGTTTTGTTCAAGTCGCTTAATAAAATGGCGAAGAAGAAATGGACGCGCAGAGATTTATGGGAGTGTTAAAGTTTATGTTAATTTATGTTAATTTAGTTAAATCGCTGTATTTTAAGTAGTTTGGAGCGAAATAAAGTTGGTTACACATTGTTATATTCGTCTCCTTTATTCTCGTATAATCCATCTTATACTTCAGGCCGCAAGCGGCCCTTGCATAATCTGTGATTATGCTGTATGTAGTATTTTTTTTGGTGAAAGACTGGCTCTTTTCCAGGCAGTTTGCCAAACAAGGAAGCCATGTCCATGCAGACAACAGCTTTGCCATCATATATTGCAGTAAATTTCATATTTCCCCCACCAAACTCTTCTTGTTTCATTTAAGTTTAACAAGTATATAAATTACAGGTAAATTTCAATAAAATTAAGACAAAAACCAACCTGTCAAGGCATGTATTTATAGGTGCATTTTGGTTTCAAATATTGTTATGGAGACACAAATTATACTTTATACATTACATTTTTTTTTGCATGAAGGCAACTAAAAATATTCATGAATAAATCTCATTTTTTTAGTAATACAACCCCATTTGTTATAAGAATTTAAATCCTGGCTTTCAAGTATTTTCAAGGACAAAAATCATAAAGGAAATGATAGAAATATTAAAGTTTATAGTATGTCAATCCTTTAAATATATGCAATGTCTTAATTACAAAAGAAACAATTTTCAGAAATTAGCTATGTATGAAGTTTTCACTCATTTATCTTGTCTGTTATGGATCTAGCTGTGCACATTTATACAAAAAATGAAAGCTTATTCATTACTCTATTGTCTTGCCAAATTTCATGTTTTACCATTTCATTGCACTTGAGCTAGAACCATTCACATAAACATAGTTGACAGCAACTAAAATTCGCCATTTTGCTTGTCCATGAAGTTTTCACTCATTTATCTTGTCTGTTATGGATCTAGCTGTGCACATTTATACAAAAAATGAAAGCTTATTCATTACTCTATTGTCTTGCCAAATTTCATGTTTTACCATTTCATTGCACTTGAGCTAGAACCATTCACATAAACATAGTTGACAGCAACTAAAATTCGCCATTTTGCTTGTCCATGAAGTTTTCACTCATTTATCTTGTCTGTTATGGATCTAGCTGTGCACATTTATACAAAAAATGAAAGCTTATTCATTACTCTATTGTCTTGCCAAATTTCATGTTTTACCATTTCATTGCACTTGAGCTAGAACCATTCACATAAACATAGTTGACAGCAACTAAAATTCGCCATTTTGCTTGTCCATGAAGTTTTCACTCATTTATCTTGTCTGTTATGGATCTAGCTGTGCACATTTATACAAAAAATGAAAGCTTATTCATTACTCTATTGTCTTGCCAAATTTCATGTTTTACCATTTCATTGCACTTGAGCTAGAACCATTCACATAAACATAGTTGACAGCAACTAAAATTCGCCATTTTGCTTGTCCATGAAGTTTTCACTCATTTATCTTGTCTGTTATGGATCTAGCTGTGCACATTTATACAAAAAATGAAAGCTTATTCATTACTCTATTGTCTTGCCAAA